TATATATATATATATATATATATATATTTATATATTTAATAATAATGTCAATAAATTTATTGTCGAAATATTGACATTAGGAGGATAATCTAAGTCATTCTTATTTTTTAATCTCAACTGAAACTTTTGTTTCTTAATCTTGATTGGGGGCTTATTCCGATTTGTTTAAAAGTTTTATATTATTTAAGAATCAAGACTAATGTTTGTTTTTGAGGTCATGTTAGTTGATGGCGAAGTTGTGTCTTTTTAGGCTACTTTGATGTAGCTGGTATGGTCGAGTTACTTATCCACAACATAAATCAATATTCAATATTTGATTTTGTCCATATTTATATATTTGTATAATCATGATACTATTTTGATAATTGTTTAAATTTTTATACGTATATAATATTGTACATGTATTCAAATATTATTTATATATTAATTTTAGGTAATTAGACATTTTTTTATTGCTAATAGCCGAATCGTTAATTATAAGCATGTATGATAAGGGAAAAAATGTTATCCTACATAGTTTGTTATGAAACTCGTGACATCATTCGTGAACATATTAGTTTATAGTGAGTGAATGAATATAAATGCAATTTTTTTTATACTCGATATAAATGTTGCTTAATCGGTTTAAATGTGAATAAGTCAATTTTAGATCAACATATACTACTAATGTTGTCTTAAGTCGACCGAATAAGTTGAAGCACGATAATTCTTGAAAATAAATAAATAAATAACTTGAGATGAATTGATATACATGCTGAATAGTAGTAGGATGGATTTAGGAAAACTTCTATAACACAAATTCACAAAGAAAAATGATATAGTGTATGAAGAAACGTTCTGAAAAACATTCCAAATGATTAAAATATTAAATTTAATTATATTATAATAAATTTATTAAAAAAATATTAATATTTTAATATTCGAATGATGATTCAAAAGATGAGTTGGAAGATATACCATTATTTATTGAAAAAAAAAATGATATAACATCTAAAAAAAAATGTTTCAAAAAACATTGCAAATAATTTAAATTATTGAGAAATTTAATAAGCATAGTATTAAAAAGAGAAAGAGTGATTTAGAATTGATTTAAGCATTAGGCATTATTGTGAGATGCGTGGTATTTAATAAATTAACTTTGGAGTTACTATCCAAGTCCTTTAGAACGGACCGGTGTTGGTCTTTGATATTTGGGGTCCGAGTACGAGCATGTGACGCAGGACAGGAACTAACAGTGGGGCGGCATGAGATGTCCATTACCCAACTTAATAAATCTCTCGACTCTGTTACTCGTCAGTGTCCATAAAATTTATTTAAAAGTTAAAACCACCTAAAATAATGTGATTTATATTTAGATATTTCTGTTATAAAATTAAATTAATACTAAAAACATAGTATAACTTATTTAAAGTTTATTCAATTCAAAATATTTTTAAAATAATTAATTGTTTAATATAAAATTAAATATGTAAAAATATTTATCCAAAATTACGTCAATTAATATTTTAACATGATTTAAAAAAAAATATAATGCGAAAGCAAACAAGTACCAAGCATATCGAATTGATAAGAACTACTGGCCATGGTGTTGAATTAAGCACAAAACATGTTTTCTTTCCATAATGGAACTAAAAATTAAATCCCGTTCTACACGCGGAGGTACTTAATAATTGGACTGTTTAAGATGCACAGCATCAGTGGCGGATTTTTGTAGGGACATTGATGCCACGAGATAGTCGGTCTGTACGTTTGTATTCAACCATTCTAAGTGATTTCAGAGGATAAAAATACACTCATAAATAACTGTTGTTCATTAAAGTATTTCTCAATAACATTTAAATATTTCATTTGTATGATACCATCGACATAGCAATAAATGAATAATTTGAGGCACTAGGATCATTTGAAAATGAGAAAGCTAAATATCTAGAGCAACTATACTAGAGATTTATTTCATGAAATTTCTTATTGTTTTCCAAAACGTGAAAGTTGGTTGTTTAATTTAGTGCTCAAACTTTGATACTTATTTATACCTCTTTTATGATAAAAAACAATTTGATAAAACTTAACGTGGTTATCCTTTTTTTACAATCAAATAACAAAATATGAAGAATGATAATAATAATAATTCAATTGTTTTGAGACGACCCTTTACTCTAAGAGGACACTACAAATGGGCCATGGTTACGAATTTACGATTATAGTTTGGTATTCCACGCTCTCTCTTATGTTTCTGTTTGCAATTGCAAGGAGAAAGAAAAAAAAAATCATTCTTTGGGCCAGCAGAAAGAAGGCCTTTGATTTGCAGGTTGCAGCACACAATTCCCGGCCCCTGGGCCCGATGTAGGTTCATAATCTTTTTCTCCCAAAAAATAGAAATAAAGAAAATGATTTTTAAGGGAAGAAATAAGTTAGGTGAAGCTTTGCTACACTTGACTCTTGTCTTCGTTAAAAATATTAAACTCGAATCTAACTTTTTTATTTATTATTAGTATTTTTAAAAGTCTAACTTGATCTGTATAAACATTTCGGTTAACGTATAAGTCTATTGGCCTAAGATGGCCTGTTGGTCTTATCAGGCTTACTAGTCATTACACTTTCTTTTTTTTTATTGTATATTAGTATGTGAAATATATGTATTATGTATATGCATTATATGTAACATGAATGAGGATATTAAGACAAATATATAAACAATAGGATATGAAATCATTCTATAAAAAAAAATATGAGTATGACATATTAAGAAGATAACAAAGAATCAATTAAAGTGTAAATTTATGCACAAAAAAAAAAAAAAAGAAAGAAAGAAAGAAAAATGTTACTAGAGGCGTCGGTGAGAAAAGTATATTAAGTAACTTATAGATGAGAAAAGAAATATATGGGAGATAAAGAAAAATATTAGAAAAATTATTAAAAAGAAATTCATGAAGATAGTATCATTGTTGTCGTTTAATGTAAGAATTATAACATAAAATAATGAATTTATTATTGATTAATTTTGACTATTTTTAAATATGATTATTTTATTTTGTTTATATTTATTAATAAGGTCGAGGCACTTCGTGTATCTATTAAAAATAAAATAAAAATAAAAATTAAGTAATGAATATATATTAATTTAGTGTTATGATTAATCCATTAATTTTAAGGTCTTGATTTTGATAAAAATAAATATATTTTTTTAATTTTTTAAAATAAAAAGGTATAATAATCAACAAAATATAAAAATAAAAGTAGTTACTAAAAAAAAATATCTTTTTATATATTAATATAGATTATATTTCATGTCTGTCAGTGGATTTTCATACAAAGCTTAGAAAAAGATAAACTCAGGGCTTATCACAATCACAAGCATCAAGACTGTAATCAAGAAACTGAAGAAAATTACTGACAGGATAATCAAGTCTAAACTTAACAAACTAAGTGCATCAATCCTTTCCTAACTGGCTATAATTAGCTAAACGTCAGAGCCCAACTTTCTGATATCTTCTGTCAATAAAATCAATAAATTTTAATAAGTTTCCACCAGGAAAAAGAAAAAATAAAATAAAGTTCGAAGAGCCATTTCGTACTCAGTTTTTTTCTCCCAAAATTCCATATTAATTAGCTTCGTATGACAAGCACAAGTTATACGTTGAGATCTCTAGCTAGAATTAGTTATACGTCATAAAGGCATAATATTCCTTATTGCGAGTAATAATGCACAGAGCGACCTCCTCTTTATTAGTCACCAAATGACAAGAAATGCACACACATTGAATGATTTAAAGGCCTAACTACCAAAGAAAGTAGCCATCTACCTTCTATATATTGCACCAGAGGATGAATTCTACATCTATGGCAAAACATCATGTGCATTGTAGGTGGACAATCAATACGGTTTCACACACATGAATATTGTATTAGAACGGTTTTCAGACAGGTTAGCGGGAGATCACTTTCCCAAATAATTTTAACTAACATTTATTTGTGAAGTATTGCAAAACTCAGAGCTTCTCGGACTCTACTTAGTAGTTACTGGTAAATAAATTATACATTATATATTAAATTCGTCAAACCATCCTATCATAAAGGGAATTGCATTAAGGTACTTTTGGGTCCAGTTTCTTGCAGTTTACTCACATTTGCTTCTGTCAGTTTTTTACGTGTGAGCTGTCTTTGTCATTTAAAGAGTCAATTTGATGGCAAATTTTTAGAGAAATTTCAAAAAATACGAAAAATAAATACAGCAACAAATTAAATGTAATTACTTAGGTGAACAATGAGGATGACAAAAACGGAATCATAAATCACATGGTTGTACAGAGAGATGGGTCAGATTAAGGAGACTTGAAGCTTGGTTGTAAGGTAATCATATCAGAGAAACAATTGCAAATGATAACCATCACCACAATATTAATGGATTTGGAACTTCTCTCTTGCTACTAGCATGTAATATAATAATATTCCCCAAGGAGAGACAATAACAAAAAATAAATATTGTAAGTAATGACAAGTCTGATTATAATTGTTTTGTACATCTGTTTTATAACATGACTAAAACTATCTGGTGTGTTTAACTTGTATGTTAAAGCAACTCTAATCAGATTAGTCTAAACTACTTTTATTATTAAAGAATTACTAGTATATTGTACTATTAAACTAAGATAACTGATCATTACTATATAAGTAACTAAATACAGTCTCAACCCATTTCCTAGTTGCACCCAAGCTAAAACACAAGCTAAAGATGATGAAAAAAATGTTTCATATCAGGTTAACAGGTAGCAAGACAAGTACTTAACCACCGGATGGTACCATCATCTGGTGATTCCTTCCCTCAAAGCATTTAACATACCATGATATAAAATCAATTAAATTAGTTTGGCTTTTTCGTGGAAAAAGCAAATATGTGGAACAAGAATTACAAAGGAAAATGATGGAAAGAACCATGCTCTTGTTCATAATTTGGAACAAAACATTTTCGGACACACTCAAATCAAATAAAGACAGCAAGCAGCTCTCTATCATTCATTTCCTTTTTGTGTAGGGGTTAAAGGGGGCTGTGTTGCACTTTCCACTTGGTTCTCAGATGATGGCTGATTCACTATATCAATCTGCCTCACATTTTGTATCATTTTTACAACTTCTGATATCTTAGGTCTCTGATCAGGAACCCTTACCACGCATGACATGGCTATCTGCAACATTTCCACCATCTCTTCCTCTATATTGGGATACCTGATCAGCTCCAGGTCAAATACTTCAGCTGTCCACTCCTCTCTCACAACAGAATGAACCCATCTCACCAAGTGGACAATCTCATCGCCACCAGTTGTGTGGACAGGGGATTTCCCAGTCAGGAGCTCTAGTAACACCACACCAAAGCTGTAAACATCAGAAGGCTGTGTCGCTTTTCTGGTGTCTGTAACTTCAGGTGCTCTGTATCCAGCAGCTCTTGAAATAGGTATGGCAACTGAGCTCATTATGGTTGCCAGGCCAAGATCAGAGACACATCCATATTGCTTACTATTTAGAAAGATATTTGAGGATCTGATATTGCCATGTACAAGTTTACCACCGTTCTCGAAATGGATGCGAGCAATGCCTCGTGCAGCACCCAAAGCAATTTTCATCCGAGTATCCCAATCTAAAGCCACCCTCTCCTCTCCTCTTTTACCTGAAAAACTCAGAGTCTTAATAAATGTTTGATATATTCACATCTTTGACACTAAAACAAGGCAAGAGCTTCCCATTTCTATCATGAAGGCATTAAACTTGTTCACACAACAACACGTGACTTAAATACAGAACACCAGCAGTCAGATGATGTGCCGTTTGCTCTCCAAAGAGGAAGCAAAAATCTTTAGGCTTTAGAACATGCATACATGATACGTTATACAACCAAAAACCATATTTCAAACATCTAACCTTATGTTATACATTTAATTTTGGAGTAAACATCTACTTTGGTCCCTAACTTTAGAAGATACTATCATATTGGTTCCTGAAATAAAAAATAATAATAAAATAAAATAAACCTAAAATATCAAATGATTTTAAAATTTTAAAAAAATTTATAAATTTGATCAATGTATTAAGAACTTTAAATTTAACGATTGAATCGTTAAAATTTAATTTAGAGCATGAGTTATTGAACGGAGTAAGTATAGATAGACTTACTCCTAGAATAAAAGATTCTTCCTCATATATATATATATATATATATATCGTTTTAATCACACTTCTTTTTTATTTTTGGATTAATATGACCGTGAATTTACGTTTTGAAAGACATATTTAACGATTTATTAGTTTCAAAAACTAATGTGATAATATCTTCTAAATTTAAGGACCATTTGCCATAGCTGAGTCGTGAATGAAATGAAGGTTATCCAGAGACAAAATGTCGACTTGTTTAACATACAAAACACTTAACCAAGAAGCAACAACGGCATTCAACCATCCAAAAACTCAAGATCCAAAAGAATTGAGCATGAGCATTAATTTGAAAAGGAAGGAAAAGAAATTTATGGTAAACTACATACCATGGAGCAAGGCAGAGAGGCTCCCCTGAGTGTAGTAATCATAGACCATGAGTTTCTCGTCTTTGGAGTAGTAATACCCTTTGAGCTCAACCACATTCTCATGTTTAAGATTTCCAACAACCTCCATGTGGTGCTCAAAGTCCTTCCTTCCAACAGCCACCTCCTTCAACCTCTTGACAACAACCGTGGTAGCATCCTCTAGCGCAGCCTTGTAAGCAGCACCAAACGTCCCCTTCCCCAATACCTCAGCAGAAGCCCTCAACAAATCCTCCAAGTCAAAAGCATAACTACACCCCTCAAAGAAAACAATCTTATTATTTACATCCAAGTCCCTCGACACCAGTTTCTCCGGAGACATGTCCCCCTTGTGCAACTTCCGAGCAAAAACATTCCCTTTTCTCTTCCTGGAGCACCACAGAAATACAAAAACAAGGAATCCCGCGAGAGCGAAGACACCAGCAGCGACAACAACCGAAAGCAGCGTCGTTTGGCGGTGTTTGACAGAATGCGGAGAGGGTTGAAGTTGAAGAGAAAGATTGTTGCCTAAAAATGCGGCCTTTGGGAACCTCTGGAGAGAGAGTGGGATTTCCCCGGAGAGCGAGTTGTTGGCGAGGTTGACGGCGGCGAGGCGGGGCAAGGTGGAGAGCGACGGAGGAATGTGGCCGGAGAATCGGTTATTGGAGAGGTCAAGGACGGAGAGGTTTGTCCAGGGGGAGAAATCCGGTAAGGGGCCGGTGAAGTTGTTGAAGTGGAGATAGAGAAAGGTGAGGTTTTTGAGATTGGAGAAATCGGAAGGGAAATGAGCGGTGATGAAGTTGGATCTGAGACTCAACGTTTGGAGGCACGTGAGGCGGCTTATGGTGTTGGGAGGGATGGGTCCGTGGAATCCGAAGGCTGGTAGGTGAATGGCTATGACACGTGAGCTTTGTCGGTCACAGGTTACGCCTGTCCAAGAGGTGCATGGGGAAGAGGTTCCGTTCCAATTGAGAGGCCTTGAAGGTGGTAGCTTTTGCACGAATTCAAGCAATGCTGCCTTGTCTTCTTCTTCTGCTGCCTTTGCTTGGGAGAGTATGAGAATGGAGATGATGAACCACAACATGAGTTCCATGTTCTTCAAACTTTAATCAACCCAACTAAGTCATACTACTAATATGAATTCATATGAGACACTGTCGCTTACTTTTTGTTTTTTGTTCCAGATCTGCCCTCTCATGCTCAAAAGTCATCCCTTAGCGGCATCCAGAGAGAAAACGTACGTGCAAGTTATGATTCGTCACAAATAATGGTGATTGGTAAAAGCTGCAGCATCCAATGCACTGCACAAATAATGGAGGTGAGGTGGATCAAATTTTTTCACTGTTTCTAATAGCTGTAACTCAATCTCATTAATGCTGTCTTTAAATGATGAAAGATGTTAAGAATAAAGAAGTAATTAGTGAAGGTAATGGGTGAGAATCTTAGGTTCAAAAACATGAAATGATTAAAACTTATGTTTACAATACTATGTTCATATATTTTATTTTACACCATCATGTTAAATAACTATGAATTATGACTTAGACGGGAATGATTGATTTTTTTTTCTATAATTTAGTATTAAAATTTCAACATAATTTTAACAACTATTTAATTTTTTTTTTAATTAGATCTATTTGGATAGAAATTTTTATAAGTATGTATAAGAAAAAAAAAGTTTCATTAAGTTGAAACTAGTTTATGAATATTTTTTTATACAACTTATAAATAAGTTAAAAATAAGATTTTTTTTGAAAAATTAATATCAATTTTTTTTACAAAATAGTTTATGCATAAATTACTTTTAGTTTGTGAAAAAATATTTTATCTTTTTTTTCTCTTACAAAAGTGTATATTAAAAAAAATTACTTTGTTGATGTTACACAAGCATATACATGGATGAGGATTAAAGTCATTATATGCATAGTATATTTTTAAATAATTTAGACAAAATTATTAAAAATATAAAAAATATATATATATTTCATTAAATATGTATGTGTATATATATAACAAACTATATGTAATTGATTGTCCCAGTTTTATGGGTCATTTCTTCGCTATTTAAAAAAAAAATCAAATGAATTTTTAGCTTTTTACGCATTTCGTTACAGTTTTTGAGTTTTATATTTCATTTAGACTTATTTTTTGAAAACGGCCAAAGATGAATTAATTTGTGTTAGGGGTACCAGTACCACTAACCCAATGTACAAAAGGTTGTTCCTGGTTAGTTATAACTTTATACCAATCAAAAAAGGATTTCATTTAGACTTATAAAAAATAACTAATTTTATACCGATTAAAAAACTCATTAAATACATTTAATTTTTTATATTTTTACATAAAATATATACTATATTTTTTAAAATATTCTTAATCACATTCATAATAAATAGTATTTTCATTTACTATTATAATAATATTTTTGGATCAAGAACATTAAATAAAGTTAACTTGATTGAAATTTATTATATTTCAACTCAAAAATTTTAAATAGTTTTTGCTTATATATAGGGCTAGTGTAGTAATGTTTCTATAATGTTTAGTTGCTTAACGATATTTAGGGATAGGGTTAGTTCAAGTTTAAGTAAAAATAAGAATGTTAAAATAGGTTAGTTTAATTTGTTTTGGCCTGATTCATAAAAAAATGGGTTGGGTTGGGTTGGGCCAACTCATCATTTAAAAATGGCAGATGATAAACACACCTCCACTTTCATATAAGTACACCCCCTTTTTAAAAAAATATATATATAATGTCTAAATTACCCCCAAACCCGCATCCCCGTTTCCCTTTCCCGCACCTCCTTCCCCGCACCCTCCTTCCGGTGCCGCAATCTTCCTCTCGCGCTTCAAATTCGCCTCGCCGCTTCCGACTGTTCGCCGCTCCCACGCCCTTCAACCGCTTCGTGCTGCTGCGCTACCCTTCCATATCGCTCGCCGCCCCCGAGAGGCTCGTTTTGGAGGAGCGCCACTACATGAGCGTCAACCGCGGGAGGATTCACGTGAAAGGCGGAGAGGGAGAGAGGGAGAGGGACTCGGAGGTGAGGTATCAGAGAGTCTGCGTGAGTGCGAAGGATGGAGGCGTGGTTTCGTTGGATTGGCCTGCGAACTTGGACTTGGAAGAGGAGCGTGGCTTGGACTCCACGTTGTTGCTTGTTCACGAAGTAGTTGAAGGGCGTGGGAGCGGCGAAGAGGATCCACTTGCCGACGTTGGAGGCGGCAGAGGCGTATTTGAAGCGCGAGAGGAAGATTGCGGCGCCAGAAGGAGGGTGCGGGGAAGGGAAACGGGGGTGCGGGGAAGGGAAACGGGGGTGCGGGTTTGGGGTAATTTAGATATTTTATATATATTTTTTAAAAAATGAGGTGTGTTTATACGAAAGTGGAGGTGTGTTTATCATCTGCCTTTAAAAATGGGTTGAAAATGTTGGTCCGTTCCACCTAAGGTAGGTTGGTGTGAGAGTGAGCCAACTCGTATACCACTAAAAAAATTGTAAAATAAATATATTTTATGTCTAAATAAAAAAATTACAACAAATAAATAAATATAATCACATGAAATTGAAAATGCATACATATTGTACGTAATATATGTTCAACAAAAGCAAATTACAAATTTACAACAAAATCAAATAGAAATTAGTCCAATTACAACAAAATCAAAATCAAATTACAAACTTATAAATTACTATTTTTTTAATAGGAACCTCAACTGCAAGTTGACGGGTTGTGATGGGTCAGCCTGCATTTGGCCTGACAAGTTGACGGACTTGATCGGTTAGAATGATGGGCTGAACCACCAATTTTTGACGGGCCAACCTATAGACTACGACCCATTTTGTCATCCCTAAATAAAAATCAAATGTTTAGATTAATTTGAATATCACAATTTTTTTTGTTTAACCCGAAGCAAACTAATCAAATGTTAATTGAGTTAATTCGATCCAGGTTATTGGATATCCAATAATTTTTTTTAAAAATAAATAAATTTAAATAATTTTTTTTATATTAATTAATTAATATATTAATAAAAATAAATTAAATATTTTTCTTAATTTACTTAATAATTTTAAATGTATTGC